CACAATGGACAACTGTTCATCTTTCAAAGAATATATTTCACGTTAATAATCTTTTTAAAAAAATATTTTTAGCAACTGGCCAAGAATGTGAGAGAAGTTGCATTTAATAATTTAGGCAGAAAGTCTGAAGACCTGGTCACTGTCATCTCCTTTTGCCTCTTTTAGATGTTAGAGAGCTTCGAAAGAACACATTGCAGGAGTTCACATTGGCTACTGAAACAGATTTCTCTAAAATTGTGTCAGAATTCTGTCACTAGGGTCGGAATTCTTCACTGTCAAGGAAGCAACTATCAAAATTTATATCAGCCCTGAGATATCCTTCCAGGAGCGGAATGGGACAATTTGCCACAGCCAACTTGCTGTGGCCAACTAACCATAGTCAAGTTGCCAAGGGACAACTTGCTGTGGGACAATTTAACCATTCAATTTAATTATTTAAAATAAATTTTAAAATATTTTATTTTTTGTCACTCACAATTCATTCTATCCCTCCTTTCGCATCCTTTCTTTAATGATTCTATCCCACCATTTCTTTGATATTAGTGTAACTCTTGTCCCACAGTGAGTTGTCCCCAGTTAAGTTGGCTGTGGTGAGTTGTCCCATGGTAAGTTGGCTGCAGCAAGTTGGCTGTATTGAGTTGGCTGTGGTGAATTGTCATAGACCCTTCCAGGAACCACAGAATTGCACTCTTAACCGTAAGATTATAATCTCAGGAACAAAACCTATATCTTCAAAGGGCCAAAGGAAAAGAGGTCTTTTTGAAAAGACATCTTGTACACATTTATCAACCATTTGTCAGAAGATTCTTAAAAGGAATTCATAAGATAAGCAGTTCCATAGAATTCATACTTTGACAGCGCCTTTTATCCGTTTTATTTGTCCATGTTGTGCAATAGCAAGTGTTAGATCTGCAAAGCCTTCCAGAAGCCTCTTAAAAGTGAAAACCTCAAAAATACTTTAAGGAGGATGGAAAGTGGAATGTAGCCCTAATGGACAGTATAGGAGGAAAGGCCACTGTGGAGATGGGGAAGGGGCTGGAGGTGGGACAGGAGACGTGTAACAGAGCATTAGAATTTAAAATGTTTCATACAGAACTGCAAAATGTTGTTGCAGCTCCGACTTTTCTATACTTTTCCGTATCTTTATGCATTCCTCATAATCGCCATGTGCTGGCTGGTTTCTTTCCTATTTAAAGAGCAAATATCAATAACTCAGCATAACTTATTTAGTTTTATATTACATGCTTTTGGGAGGGAGGGAAATATTCTATAAAACAATGCTAAATTAAATTAGGGGTCTTAACTCGGTTCTCAGCTTGTTTCACGGTGCCCTCTGGCTTCTTTTTAAAACTTTTTAACGCCAACCCTGCAATATAGCACCAGACAAGGAACAAATGAAACTCTGATTTATATGGATGCATTCATATAAATTAGCATAACCAGTTAGGAAACCATTATCAATAAGGATTTATATAAAATTTATTTCTACTTATTTATATGTATAAAATTCTTAAAGATCCATCTCATCTAGGGCACCCCTTTTTTTTAACTATTACCATCTGGTAGGCAGTATAGGACAATAAAGACAAGGACAATTAGGCTGAAAAACAGCTTCTATCCCAGAGCAGTAACTATATTGAATTCTACTGTATAGTGCAATATTAAAGCAATATGAGGGGTTTTCCATTCAATTGTATAGAATGTGAAGGATATGTATTTGTGTTTTATTTTTTTATGTATAATGTACACTGAAGATGGCATTTAATTTCATTGTATGAGGTGCAATGACAATAAACTAAAAAAGCCATAATTAAATAATAACCATACTTTACAGAAGGAAAAGCACAGCTCTTATCACAATAACTTAGGTGACCTGTGTGCCAGCTTTGTCCAGATCTTAATTGTCAAGTGTCAGGTCCAGAACACCGCCCACCCACCCCCTTCTCCCTTTTCTCAAGGCCTTTTAATTAGACTTACATTGCACACTCATTCAGACAGAAAACAACTTCAAAGAGAGGATCATTTAGGGAAATTCGACACATAGTTTCTGCAATGTATAGGCAGAAGTGAACATATATGTTAGATTTGCTATCCTGATAGTAAGGAAAGAACAACAGGGACAAATATATTATTGAGCTAATCCTCACTTAGCAACCATGAGACAGGCAAGTCGGTTATTGAGCAAAATAGTTGCTGATTGAATTGTGCTAATGATCTTACTGCAGCTTTCATTTGCTTTTAAAACCTGCGGAGGTCAGAAATGCAAGGATAGGTTGCAATGTTACTTTTGCAATTGGGTAACCTAGCTGAATTCTGTATCTCTAGTGAGCAGTACGTTAATCTAGGCAGCTTGCTTTTTGTAACATCTTGCTTGCAAAGCTTTTCCAAAGATTTCATACTTTTTCTGCCATTTTGGCTCATCCTAATTAAGATATTAGGGGTGGCAACAATCCTTTGGCTTTGACTCTTCATCTGCCTCCTTTCCTCTTTCGTTATTTTCTACTAAGACACCAATCTGGCATCCACTTTGTCTCACTTGCTTGGCTATCTTTTTCCCAGAAAGGGGCAGGCTGCTTTGGAACCATCTATCAGACAGCTGTTTCTTGATCCTGGGGGGAAAAAATGGGCAGGATCTATTGTTGCTGGCAGAAATAACCATTGGGCAGGCCTGTACCTGAGTATTTTGCAGAGCAACCTGAGAGTGAGACTTAATTAACAGCAGCCTTCACACACATTTCAATCAGAATAGAGCTGGAAGAGACCTTGGAGGTCTTCTAGCCCACCTCCTGCTCAAGCAAAAGACCCTATACCATTTCAGACTAGTGGCTGTCCAGTCTCTTGATAGCCCCTAGAGATGAAGCGCCCACAACTTCTGAAGGCAAACTGTTCCACTGATTAATTGTCCTCAGCGTCAAGAAGTGTCTCCTTAATTCCAGGTTGCTTCTTCTCCTTGAGAGAAGCAACCTTCCGTCTATCAACAACAACTCGAGAGACAGGCATTTGGACTGGATCAGAAAGAAAACGAATGAATATTTAAAAGGCGAAATAAAGCACTTCATCCTTCCCTTCCCTGCCCCCCTCCCGCCCTCTGTCTCTCATCTTTCCTGTCCTCTTGCTTTCCACGCACTCTTCTCACTTCAGAACTTATTTCAGGCAGGCTGATGAATCCCAGACGTCTAAGGGAAGGCAGCAGGAGATACGGTTATTCCATTTGCGGCTTCACGCGGCTCCCCTGACAACCTCTTGTGTGAGACCGGCCAAGTGGGAACAACCTAATCAAGGGGAACCAAAAGAGTCGGCTGCAGTGTCATGATGTGTGGGTGGAGGAATCAGTCAGGATCAAAAACTGCCAGGTGGTAGTTCCCTCCCACCTGTCTCTGGAGTGAAATTGGCCTACTAGGAATTTGCTTGAAGCGCAAACTGTGTAAGCATCAGGAAGCAACTCTCAAAGCCATGGCTAATATACCCCAGGCTGCCATTCTGTGCTACATGGTTCTAGACTTTTCAACCTTTCTGAGGACAAGATACATTTGGGAGTAGAAGGGGAGACCTTAACTGAAATTCTAATTTGTTCACATGCTAATCTTTTTCCAAGTTTTCAGCAATGAAGTACTCTTGGTGACTGTAGTCCTTATCCTAGCTCTCCAGAATTGTTGGGAAGGATAGAAATGTGCCCCCCTCCCCAGCATGAGTTTCTTCGGGGGGAAAAACAGAATATGAGTGCAATTAGTACATAAACCCCCAATATTTGTGTTAAATTTATATTTTACTGACAAAGAAATAAAGGAAGACTAGTATAGATCTATTTCAAGCTATTTAGCTCTCATCGGCTAGCCATGCCCTTTGAACACGGGCTAAATAGCTAAATAGCTTGATGAGAGCTAAATTGCTTGAAATAGATCTATACCAGTCTCCCTTTATTTCTTTGTTGGTAAATTTAACACAAAAGTAGTTTTTTGCAAAAGCGACTGCCTGCAAAAGCTCCCAGATTGGAGCTGAAAGGCGAAAACGGAAGCAATATGCTCCACCCCATAATTCGGTAGACCAGGTTGCCCTGATAGACCAGTCCCACCAGGAAAAAAAAAACACACTTAAAGTTTGTTAAGAAAGTGAACTAGACTAGTGTTTCAACCAGTTCAACAGTACTGCATCTCCTATACACACATCACTGAAAAAAACTGGAATCAAACAGAACAAAGGGTTGGGGGAGGTTGCCTCACAAAGCACAGTTTTGCATGAACCAAAAGTTCTCATCATTAAATTGTGATATATTGGCCCACCGCCCTTGTCCTCAGACTGGATGACTTAATCATTTATATTGTTTATACCATTTTTATTGCTTACACTGCTTTTATTGTAAGTTGATATGAGGCTAATATGAAAATGTAACAACACATCAAATAAAATAAGTGAACAAATGAATGCCTGGTAGAGTTTTATGCATTGACTTAAAAGTGAGCTAAAGGGATAATCATCTCTACAGAAACTTAAAGTATCATCCTGGGGAATATATTGGCTGAAATAAAAGCACTAGGCTTGGTTCAAACTAGCTGCAACAGACAGGCCATTTTTTTCTTGATGATACTCAGTGAAATAAAACGATAAATATGGGAGATAGGCATTCCCCCTAACAGCTCTTCCACATAAAATTAAATTTACTTTTATTTTTTACTGCTACAGTAAAATCACTTGAAGTTCAGGCTTCTTCCAGTTTTAAAATGCTCCGATATGTAATATTGCTTCATTGGCTTCCCAAAATTCCTTAAAAACAATTGACTTTTCTGCTGGCATGATTACAATTCATCGGAAAGCTAACGTTGTAGTAGAAGCTGCCCTAATACTGTGAGGAAAAATGGCGCCTGGATCTCCCTCTTGAAATCCTTACTTTAAGGATTTCACTTCACTTCCACTACTCTCTCCTCCCCACCCACCTCAAAATACATTGTGACATATTGTTTTCCAAACTAACTCAGCACTCTTCTCTTTTCGGTATTGTGCAGATTCTTTGTCAACTTCCCATCTGCCAAGCAGTACTTCAGCCAATTCAAGCACATGGAAGATCCACTAGAGATGGAAAGGAGCCTGCAGCTGCGTAAACATGCCAGGAGGGTCATGGGGGCTATTAATAGTGTGGTGGAGAACATATACGATTCGGAAAAGGTCTCCTCTGTGTTAGCTCTGGTGGGCAAGGCACATGCTGTCAAGCACAAAGTGGACCCTGTCTACTTTAAGGTAAGGGCAAAATCATGTCCTTGAACACTGATTAAAAAAAACCCCAAGCCAAATGACATAGACATAAAACAGTAATACTGACTGGCTAGTTGGTCCTTGCAATTTCCAATTTGGTGATTTATTATATCAAAATATTTAAGTGATGTAGAATCTCCATCTAATTCACAGGTGTCAAACACGCAGGGTCATTTTGCCATCATGAGACGTTTTGCCATGTTTTTCCCATTTGCAGAGCTGGGGTGGGCGTGGCCTGTGTGTGAGATGCATCCAGCCCATGGCCCTCCAGATTGACACCCCTGATCTAATTCTAATAACAAAATCTATATATTATTTTGTTGTGTGATCATCAATATTCGGTTTATTTGTAAGATTCACAAACTATTAAATGTGTATATTAAAGTCTTCTGTTTACAATCATTCCCATTTGTTTTAGCATGAGGATTGAGTGGAGTTTGTTTGCAATATCCTAAGGGTATGTATAAGGCAAGGGAATAGACCAGCAAACACATATACATTTTTTCCATCATTCACTCTACAGGGAGGCTATAAACTCAGACTTGAATTAATTGCTATTTTTCCAAAACATTTTTTTTTAAATCATGGGTTAAGGGCTTTTTGAAAGATTACTCAGATTGTCATTTTTTAGATGGAGAAGACTAGAATGTCTTCCTGTCCTTCAGAGCAGAGGTGGGCTTACATGATTTAACAACAGGTTCGTCAAATGCAGAACCGAAAATGTGAGCATCAATATAGTTCTAGGGAACTATATTCTTTCTGCTAAAGAATCTCAAGCCAATGAACTCTTATTTGCTCATCTCATGCTATTGACTTCATTGTAAATAGAGCACTTAGAGTAAGTTCATCTTACTGCAGATCTGTTTCTATTGATTTTGAACTGAAGAACTGTCACTGGTTCTAGTTGATGACTGATTCTAGTTGATGACCAATGGATGATATCACAATTGTCCTTCAGTATAGACAATTTTTTATGTCACCCACTACTAGTTCTTATAAATACCTATGAATTTAGTTCAAAGTGTGCCCCAAACAGAGGGAAGGTGCCCTACAGAGCAAAGAGCACCAAATGAATTGCTCACAAATTTGGATGCATGATAGATTATACAGTATCATCCTTAAACACTATGCCCTTCAATAATTATGAAGAACTGAAATAAACTAATTTGTTAACAGTATCGCAAGAATTATTTCAGTGTTTTGAATTTGCCTGTACACCTGATGGAGAATCACAATGGGTAATATGTTACCTTAAAATAGGATCTGTTGATAAGAGAGGGGATTCAAATAAAAATGTTGTCCTGCAATCTCGTGAGACATTAAAAACCGCTGCACAAAGCACTTCCCCTTGAATCAGAAAAACCATACCAAGAAATTGACTTGACTGAAATGATTCTCCAATTCCACTAAGAATTCTAAAAATTTTAACTATATTATGGAACAGGTAATACTTTGTTAATGGTTTCTACAATCATTATGATTCACATACTTTTTTAGAAAGTTCAATATCAAAAAGGTTTGATATTGATTTGTCATAGAGAAATGCATAATATGTACCTAATGATCAAGAACATTAAATGTCGGGAACAAACCCTTGTAAATGCAGTGTCCTAATGGTGCTTTGGGCCCAAAAGAATACCTGCTTACACTGAGCTTGGTTGTTTTCCTGCAGACATTCTATTATTATGCTAAGTAATATCATAAGCTATATAGCAGCTTGGTTGTAGCATGGTTTCTTCTTTAACGGTGCCTTGATTTTAGTATTGTTTCTTCCATGTTTATCTGGTGTTGCTTCTTACTAATCCTAGATATTGGGTGCCCTGGAGCTGTTTCTTTCTTTCCTTGACTTTTGGTTGTATCTTTTTAAAAGTGGTATGTAAATAGCATTTATCCAACCTATTCTGCCAGTTTGGGCCAGTTTGTATGAACCGGATGTTAAATTTACATCTGGTTTGCTGAACCGGTAATTGAACCAACTGGCTGACTCACCCCCTGCCCGCCCTACCCCTCCCAGGAGTGTCCACCCATCCTGTTTTGGATTTAGGTAAGTGCACGGTCTGCACAGAGGCTCTGGGAAGGCAAAAAATGGCCCTCCTGGAAGTTTTGGAAGTCCAGAAATGGGCCTATTTCTGGCTTCCAAAGGGCCTCTGGAGCCCGCCGGAAGCTGTTTTTGCCCTCCCAGAGGCCCAAGGGAAGCCTCCAGACTTTAGGAAAGCAAAAACAGTCCTCCTGGAAGTTCTGGTAGGCCACACCTACTATGGCCGTGCCCACCCAGCAATTGGGCAGAGAACCAGTTGTTGGGATTTTGAATCCCACCCCTGGGTTAATCTCTATGTGTCTGCAGATGGCTGATTTGTCTGAATGCCAACTTTCCAGGAATTCCCCTAGCATTTTTGAATTTGGCTTGATCTATTCTAAAATATCAACAGTTTCCTAGCTGAGACACTAAAGATGATAGCAGTCATAGTGTAGAACAGACAGGAAGATTGGCAGAACACATTTCAGAATATCAGCTAACAATCAGATATAAATACCCTGTTCTGATCTGCCCTGCTGATTTAAAGATGAAACAGTTCTCAACCTTTTGCAATTGAATAGAATAGAATAACAGAGTTGGAAAGGACCACTTCAGACAAATGGTTATCCAACCTCTTCTTAAAAACCAGTGTTGGAACATTCACAACTTTTGGAGGCAAGTTGTTCCACTGATTAATTGTTCTAACTGTCAGGAAATTTCTCCTTAGTTCTAAGTTGCTTCTCTCCTTGATTAGTTTCCACCCATTGCTTCTTGTCCTGCCCTCAGGTGCTTTGGAGAATAGCTCAATAATGAATACTTGCCACATAGTTTTAAAATATCCGATCTGCCCACTATTCTGACAAGATTGATGCCTTTTGAAACTTTTGAAATATGCCTTGTGATGTTTGAAACTTCCAATTAGACTTTCAGACACAAACATGAAGACATCAGTATAAGTTATATATTATGAATGCTCTCAATTATTTGATTTTTCATCTCTTTTATGCTGAGGTTCTGTTACTTCTAATCTATAGCAAACTGGGGGGTGGGGGCTAGTTGCAGCCTCTCTAGCCTGTCTCTCCTTTGGTTAGAATTATTCATGCAATAGGAATCTTCAACCAGGATCGCTATAGTGAGCCTCAAGTGAACTATCTCTGAAGACAGACCAGAAGTAGCAGGTGGGAGGTTGTGCATATTTTAACAGCGATTCAGAAGTGCTTTAGACATGGTGTGAATGCAGCACTTCTCTGCAGTTTATTCAAACACACCAGTCTTTTTTTCAGGCTTCTGTACTAGCCCATTGTTTAAGAGTCAGGTTCCTTTTGATTCATTAAAGAAAAGTGTATTGTTTTAAGCTTGTGAAGAAGCCCGAGGGGAGCGGGGAGCTGTTTTCATAGATAGCAAAATAAAATAAAATATTACACTCACATGAAGTCTGAAGCACATGCCGAATCGTTTTTCAGTTCAAGGGATTAGCACAAAATGTAGCTGCTAAAGTACTAATTAGAACTAGTAATTGAAACACATCTCACTTGTGTGGGAAATAGCCTCTGTCCAATTTAAATACAAATATTTAATCGTAAGGTAGCTACTGAAAAAAAAAAATCTGCTTCTAGATTACCTGTCCCGTGACTCATAAAGACTAAAGGAGCTGTTTTCTTAATAACGTTAGGTATTTAGGATAGTTTTTGGGGCTCCTGCTTGCAGAATTCCCTTGGCACATAGACCAATGTTTTTCTAACATCAAGAAAACACTTTTCTAATCTCCTTGCTTTTATTAAGTATTTGGTCATCTAATTTTACTGTTGATTTTGTTCTATTGATTTGATTTTGGAATTATGTTGTGTTACAAGTCTGTAGAGATTCCTAGTTATCCAAGTCATGGTTGTCCCAAAGGTGTTTTTCAGGAGGCAACTGGACTTTCTTGTTTTTTCTTTTGAAGATGTTTCGCTTCTCATCCAAGAAGCTTCTTCAGCTCTGACAGGATAGTGGAGAATGGAAGTATATTCCTTGCAGACAGCTGGTAATTTGCATCCTTTTAGAGGGCCGTTGAAGCACTTGGAGGTTTATCTGTGTCCTCGGGGTCACCTGAGTAGCTCCTGGTTCCTGTAGTCTGCAATTTTTGCTCTGGAAATCTGTTCCTACTCCCACACCATTCAAAGGGTGTTCTTCCCAAATTGTACAGCTAAAAGTCTGTATATTGTGTTACCAGCCAAATAGTCTGCTTTACAGTTCCCTCAGTGCAAGCTGTGGTGCAGCCTTGGGGCTGAAATTCAGAGTCCCACAGGCTGCTGAAATGTCCACATAGGACATGTCAGATGATGAGGAAAATAGTAAACAAGCCCAACTTTAATATAACTAAAGGCTTATTTTTCACGTTATAAGCACTGAATCATTACTCATAAAACAGTCACAACTTTTTATCATATTAACCTGAATTTTTCAGTCTGCCTTACTGAATAGCAGAAATCTGTTGTGCTCGAGCTTGAATGTCTGAAGTGTTTCTTCTGTATCATTTTCAAAGGGTGCATAGTCTTACTATATGTGCTCAGAGCATCAAGGACAAGCAATTGTAAAGCATAAAATGGCTCTAAAGTAAAGGAAAACATCTAGTTTCATGCCTCTGAATTGAAATAACCTGTTGATCTAAGATGATTAGGAAAGATCAGGAAATGAAGACCCAAGGCGTAAAATTATTTAGCCCAAAACAGCCTGCCAAGGAATGAAAGAGCTATAGTCTATAATCCCAGGGAAGCACAATACTAAGGAAGCCTGCTTTTATGTTATTATTAATCATCTTCATCTAGTGGGTATTGTACAGAAACTAAGAATAATCTTCCATTATGGCAGCACACAGCCAAGATAGCAGTTTCAAAACGGGGCTGTTAATGGTCATGCTTTGTTTTGAAATTCTGAAGGAGACTGAGAAATTCTGTTCCCTTAACTTTTCGTCTTTGTTCTTCTTCCAGATTCTGACTGGTGTCATACTGGAAGTGCTTGCAGAACAATACACCAAGGAGTTCAGTGTTCCAGAGGTTCAGAGAGCCTGGGCCAAGATGAGGAGCCTCATCTACACTCATGTGACAGCTGCATACAAGGAGGTGGGCTGGATGCACTTTCCAAACTCAATAATGGGAGTGTAATGTGGCAGGGTAGGCTTGGGATTCCTGCACAATTTCACCCTAATTCTCATCACCCCTTCACTCTATTTGCAATAGGCTCGTAGGCATAACTCCGTGGGTATTTAAGAAGTCTGGTTTAGCCTTTTAAAGAACTAGGCAATTGTCTGTACTGTCCTGCAGCAGCCCCCAATTTTTTCAGCTTTGTGGACTGGCCGGGGAGGAAGAGGGGATGGTTTTGCATGAGCAGCGGGTGAACGCACACAGGTCCATTTGTGCCAGCAGCAGGCACGTGCGCCCATCGCTCACACAAATGGAGCTTTGTGCATGTGCATACTCGCTGCTTCCGTGGCCCAGTATGGGCCATGGACCAGGCATTGGGAACTCCCTGCTGCATTGTATTAGCATTAATAATCATGTTAGAATGGAAAGCCAGCATAAAGAAGATGAAAAATTTCAGTTGCGACTTCTAGAATTACCAGATTTGTCAATAATACAGTGCTAGGATGTATAAAGTCATGCTAAATGGATCTTGTAAAGAATCTTGTAGCACCTTTAATAGTAGTTGGTAATTGTATAAACCTTTGTGGATCTGAGTCCTTTTTCAGCAGATAAAGTGGACAATGATCCACAAATGATGCAATAAAACTTTTATTTTAAAGTATTGCAAGAGTCTTTATTTGCTTCAGCAGAAACCAGTTACCATTTTAAAAGCTATTACTTTATGGTAATAGCTTTCAGAATGTATTTATTTCAGATTTACTTATTTCAGCTTGATGTTAACAGAGGTATTTAATACACAATCCATCAAGAAAAAAGTGTAATTCTGCAAATCTTCCACTGATGGATGGTCACGATGTCTTACCAGGCTGACAATTTTCACTACCACACACATGACTCGTCCGCAGTCTTTCTACAGCCCAGGAAATTCAATTCATACTTAGTGGAATTATAGAATAGCTTAATCTTTCTTAGAGCAATCCCTAGCTCAAAAAAATCCTCCCAGGTTATAAATAAAAAGAAATCAGGTGATCTCCGCCCACTGAATCATCCCACTTCATCTTTCTCCAAACTCAGTTATATTTTTATTCCTTCACTGATACTGATTCGTTTACAGTTTTTGAAAGCTGTGATTCACCTCAGGATCTACTTAGGTGGCAAAGCATGTCAGTTTTGGCCTATTTTCAGAGATATTAGATGAGCACATTGGGATTCCCCTTCCGGTATTGATTCATACTGGGTGAGACAGAACAAAGAATTAGTCAGCTAGGCTGATGTAGAAAGGAATCTGCCAAGGCTCTGGATGCTCTCCCAGAGGCCATGCTGCTTCCACAATGACTCAGCACATGGTAGGCAGTGCCATCTTTAAAGTGGCACTTACAGAAAGCAGTAACTGGAAGGGAGACAGGGAAAATATAATGAGGGTGTGATATTGTTTGACTTTTCCTGAAAAAAACTGGTTTACCTTGATAGAATAAGCTTGCTATATATATGTACAGGTACACTGTCTCCTGCATGGAAGGATCACTGCTAACTAGGGTGGGTAGTGCTTCATATTGGATTACAAGAGGTAGCACAAATGGGGTACATGGCTGCAAGATTTCAGCTCAGCTGCATCTTTTCCATACTACTGTGTTGCCCTGAAAATAAGACCCAACTGGAAAATAAGCCCTAGCATGATTTTTCAGGGTGCTGGTAATATAAGCCCTACCTCAAAAATAAGCCTCGGTTAAGATTGTCAGCCAGACAGATGCATGTAATACCATATTTCCCCGAAAATAAGATCTAACCAAAATATGTGTCTAAGATCCGATCTTATGTTTGAGGAAACACAGGTACTAAGAATTAGAAGGAAGGATTCTTTCATTCAATACTGTTGATAGTTTGCCCATTTGGATTCTGTTTTAGTCATCTCCAGCCTGATATAAAAATGAAGGGATGTAATAGCTTTACCCTACTGAGAATGATACCGGTAGTCTTTGACTTACAGCAGTTCATTTAGTGACCATTTGAAGTTACAACAGCACTGAAAAAACCAACCTATGGCCATTTTTCACATTTATGACTGTTGTAGCATGCCCATGGTCACATGATCAAAATTCATACACTTGAGAGCTAACTCATATTTATTACCGTTGCAGTGTCCCGGGGTCATGTAATCATCTTTTGTAACTTTCTGACAGGCAAAGTCAATGGGGAAGCCGGATTCACTTAACAACCGTATTTAGTAATTTAACAACTGCAACGACTCGCTTAGCAACTGTGGTAAGAAAAGTCATAAAATGGGGCAAAACTCACTTAACAGAAGTTTCACTTAGGAACAACTTTGCCTCAAAACTCAGGCACCCCAAGTTTTGTGGAATTGGAGAGACACATTTACCTTTGCAAAGGGGCTTCTTTGTCCACCCAAAAATATGAATTACCAAGTCATTCAGAAAGCGAATGATTCTTTTTATAAGGTACAGAAACAAATGATACATATATTTGGTATATGTGATACATCAGAAAGTAAGTAGTCAAGCAATAAAGATATGTGGGTCTTGAACAATAGTAAATATTGATTCTAGATATCAGAGCAATAGCAATTAGACTTATATAGTGCTTCATATTGCTTTACAGCCATCTCTAAGCAGTTTACAGAGTCAGCATATTGCCCCCAGCAATCTGGGTCCTCATTTTATTTTTATTTATTTATTTATTTTGTCAAGGAATTATAAGATAACAGGTATAAGTATAAACATAGTTATGAATACATGAAATGGATACATATAAGAAAAATAAAAAGAAACAATAGGACAGGGGCAGTAGGCACATTGGTACGCTTATGCACGCCCCCTACAGACCTCTTAGGAAAGGGGCGAGGTCAATTAGTAGACAGTCCAAGGTTAAAGTTTTTGGAGTTTTACCCACCTCGGAAAGATGGAAGGCTGAGTCCAACCTTGAGCCAATGGGACTTGAACTGCCAAACTGATGGCAGCAGGTGATCAGCAGAAGTAGCCTGCAGTACTGCAGACTAGCCACTGCACCACCAAGGCTCATTCTATAACTGGCAAATTTATAAGTTACTTTATTCTTTCCCAACTGGGTTTGCATCTTTCTTAAGACTTGCAAATGTATTCAGAATATGCTCTCTATTCTTCACTGCTGAAAAGACAAGTTTTCCAGAACCAAAATGGCCTTAGCTAAGGAGGGGGAAAAAGTTTTCTTGAAGTTAAAAAAAGAGGCCTAGACTCTTTTTAAATGCAAATAATGAAGCCTAAAATTTCAGGTAACAGAGGGATGGTTGAGACAAGCTGCAGCTTTTGCTATGAGAAAATGAAAGAAGCAGTATATTTAGTATAGGGCGACTTAATACAGTATTGGTCAGTTTGAGAGATAAAGGTTAGCAGACGGAAGAAATTTGTATTCTTAGTGTGATAAACACACTAAAAGCCTAGGCTAAATTCATAAAATAGTTTAGCCAGCTGAAGAATGTTCAATTAAAATTGAGTGTTTACTCCAGGGCAGAATGAAATATATGTTTAAGACAAATGGAATTACACACCACTCTTTGAATCAGACAGCCAGAAATTCCTAAACACCATTAAACACACACATGCAATGTCTGATTTCAAACAGTAATTATCAGGACTTTTTTCAGTTTATGTTTTGCCTCTCCCAGTTCAAGCAAGGATAGACAAAAGGTTGCCATCAATGCATTTGTATGTGCTGTCAGACCATTTTTTTTAAAAAAAAAAACATTACATTTCTCTTATTATTTTTAAATTAAAATTACTGTATCTGTGAAGAAAGTCATGGAAATTGAATGGCCTACGCTTTAAAATATCAGAAGAAGCCAAGGATTATGTTCAGGAATAGAGTATGAGCTAAAAACAACAACAACACCTGACTCAGAATTCAAATGTGAGCTCTTACCGATTAGGAAGGAAAATAATGCCAACCTTTCTCCAGCAGATCAAACACACCCCTTTTCTTTTTGTCACAAGGATTCAGTAGCGATAAATACTTCTGACAGCAGTCAGAGAGTCTCCTTGACTGCCTTCAGCTGTGGAGTTCTTAGCTTTTTAAAACCAGATTCTCTTTTCAGCCCATCTACTGAGAAACACGCCCCCCCGGGGGGGGGCGAGAATACCTTTGTATTTTTCTCCCCTCAAATCTAGAATTACAATGCTTGGAATACCATTGTGTCCATTCTGAAATGCAACTGATAGCTGTGAACCTTTGCATGTGAGTAAGGTTTAAAAAGGATATCTCTTATTAAACCAATGAAGCCAAAACCAACTAACTAACTAACTAACTAACTCACTCTCTCTCTCTCTCTCTCTCTCTCTCTCTCTCTCTCTCTATATATATATATATATATATATATATATATATATATAATTCGGCTTTGCTCGGGTACCCGCGAAAACTTAAGAAAACACACACACACACACATATATATATATTCTTAAGTTTTTGTGGGTATTTATATGTATGGTATTCAGCTTTGTTCGGGTATTTTCCCACGTCATTATAGTTGTGCTTTTAAAGTTGTAGCAATGTTTCAGCAGAATCTCATCTGTGCCATCATCAGGTTTCTGTACTGTGTTCGTCTGTGAGTCATAACGGCTGTGAAAGTCTGACTCACAGACGAACACAATACAGAAGCCTGATGATGGCAGATGAGATTCTGCTGAAACGTTGCTACAACTTTAAAAGCATAACTATAATGACGTGGGAAAATACCCAAACAAAGCTGAATACCATACATACATACATACATACATACATACATACATACATACATTTAGGCTGCAATCATACACATGGAATTGAATCAAGTCAATACAATCAGCCAAAGTAAACTATATTAGAAATAGAAATGTAGAAAACCGATGGCAGAAAAAGACCTAATGGCCCATTGAGTCTGCCCTGGGGTGGGTGGGTGAGTTTTCATTAATTAATTTTAATTATTTCTATATTTTATTTATATTTATTTT